GTATGGTGTACACTAAGATAACTCCATCATATATGAACTCCATCAGCCCTTTAGTGAACTGTGTGTAGGAGGTTGACAATGATAAATTATGTGTTTGGGATCTCCATCAGGATACCTATAGGTGTGTAAAGGCTCAAGTAGCCTCCTGGTAATGTCATTTGAATATATACTGGTGCTTTCAGCTTTATCTAAGTATTTTTAAACTCGTAAGTGTATTGATATAACTTGAATTCTACTATGCTTACTATTGGTGTTTCAACAGGGCTTGTAATGTAATGTTTGAAATCAACAAAACAATAGGTAAAGGATACAATGAAACTGGACTGTTGGGGCTCCCTGGGGGGGTTTACTGTTAGACAAAAAAATTGAAGAAAAATTCTGTGGCTTTATTGTGCACTAGACTTTGTGAAAGTGTGTTCCAGGTCATTTATGAATAAAATATGAACTAAAAGCACAAGGATTATCATTTCAAAAACTTGAAAGTTTTACATAGTATGTGTCATATTGTTGCATGAGTCTTTTCATGTTTTGTTAAAGACATTATAGTTAATAGAGATTACATTATTAATGTTTCCATCACTAAATGGCACATTACTGTGTAAAAATTGTGCCATGATAAAGCTGTATTAGTAAAACATTGGTAATGTTTATAGCTAGCGCTATACAGTGTGAACAAAAAGTTAAATAATTTAATCTAAAGTACTACTGTGGGTGTGCCCAGGTACGTATAGAATTGTCTTTAAATTTTGATACTTCAGACTTTTAAAATATTTCTTCACAATCAATTTATTTTTAATGTATTGTCATATATTATGTAGTTCTGATAGTATATACAAATAAATATAATGACAGTCTGACTATAAATAGGAATTCTGATAAAGACATTTTTTAATTTCTTCATTTGAAATGGTATGTACATTTTGAAACCTCTGCAGTAATGTATTGTTACATTAATTATGTAGTTATGATAGTGTGTATAAACAGATGACAACACCCTGACTACAGTATATTGTCAGACATTATGTTGTTGTGATAGCATCTATAAATAGAGATTATAACACCCTGACTACAGTATATTATCAGACATCATGTACATCTGGCAATGTGTGTAAGTAAGGATATTTGAAATGACTTTGTTTCTCCTTACCCAGGAAGCAACGTCTTTCATTAAGAAACAAGCTCAAGCGCAACAGCCTTTCTTTCTTTACTGGGCTCCAGATGCTACTCATGCTCCAGTTTATGCTTCTAGGAGCTTTCTTGATAAAAGTGAAAGAGGATTGTAAGTTGTTTCATTATGTTACTTTAACAAAAAAAAAGCAACTTCAATTCACATACAAACAGTTGGAGGAAAACCTGAGAATCTTAAAAAATAGTAAAAATAAGTGAAGATATATTAAAAACTGTTTTATAATGTTGTAACAGGAAAAATACATGGGTTATTGAAAACATGATTAATAACCTGGTTTATAAACAACTTTGTGCACAAACTTTATAATCCTAGTTAATCTTTTAATCTTTTTTGTTGTTTCTTCATAAGTGAAACTTCTATTTCCTTGAATTTTTCACATCATCATAAACCAAGGTTCTGTTATAAAATCAGAAATGTGAGGGTTAGTTGATCTTACCTGACTCCATTTGTCAGTATCCAACAGTTAGGTTTAGCGAGCAAATGCTCTAAGTTCCACTAAGGTAACCAAAAATTCATGCTAGTGATAGTATTAATTAACCTTTCTAAAATCCTTGGAAAACTTAGGTGGTCCTTTTCTTTATTCTTCACTGCAACTAGTAGTAACAACAATGCTCTGTCTAATGGCACTACTGACAACATTCATATACATGGCTAGAGTCATTTTTAGTGTTGATTTTTTTCTTTCATAGGAGGTCTAACCCAAGTATCCCAATGTGTGCTTAAAGATTTGCAAATTGATTTCTTATAGTTATCCTATAATTTCCAGTCATATCTTCATTTTGGGTATGATTCCATAAACATTTACCTGCAAATTTTTCCTCTCTGAAAAGTTTGAATGTTTTGGAGAATATCATGTAATTTTGTTTTAGATATGTGAACTTGGTTAAGTCTGTGTCAACTGTTTTTTTCACAAATGTTAACATGTTAAGCCTAGTTGAGATTGCCTACAAATTTTACATGTTGTGTGTATCTCGGGTAGGATGGTATTTCACGTATGTTAATGTAATAGATGTAACAGTAATGTTATGTGCTTCATCTCAAGCAACTCTGTTAAATGTATTGCCAGACAAATTTACATGCCTGTTACAATAGTGCACAAATCTCTATGCTAAAAACTTTCTTGTTTAAGATTTACAAATGTGAAATCAGCTACATTTACATACCAAATAATATGAAAGCTAAATTAACATGCCTAGTGACATGATCCCTCATAAATTTTCATGTTCAGTTAAATCCAGGTAAGTCTCCATGCTGACATTAGTTGATTTTATACACTTAACCTCTTATTAGTTGGTTTTATACTTTATATTTAATCTTGTAGATTGGAATTTTAAATATAATCTTAGATATAATTCTCTATGCAAGATTTTACATAGATAATTTAATGCATGATTGAATCAGAGGTAAGTTTATGTAGTGTTTTAGCATCTGGTAGTTATATGCAAAATTTTATCTTGGGTTACTTTATGTCCAATAAGTTTGCATAGAGGGTTTCCCCCCCCCCCATATTATCTTTCCATTTAAAATGTCATTCTCAGATAAACATATAAAGCTTGAGATTGTATTGATTAATTGTACATTACAGCCAGCATCAGATAAATATATTTATAAATTTATCATGATATGAGTTTGAATATCAACATGTATTTAACCCGTTCTCACAATTTTTATTTGATGTGCACATTTCAATGATTTGATTCATTATTTCAAACATCATACTTTGTGTGTGCTACTTTAGGTATGGTGATGCAGTTAGAGAACTTGACTTCTCAGTAGGGATCATCCTGGATACCTTATGGACTACAGGTGTAGCCAACAATACACTTGTCTTTTTTACATCTGATAATGGAGCAGCTTTAGTAAGCAAGATAATGGGTAATTTACTGTTCACTGCATCTTTTACTACCAGATACGGAATATGAGCCAGCAATTTCATATTTTGGTGTGTCTCAGCATTTCAGTTCTGGAGTTTTTCTTTTTGCAAACGTTTCAGTTTATCTATTGGACATATTTTTCTCCTTTGAAAGTTGCTGCTTTGTAATCACATATTTCTCAGTGTTTAGTTAAATTTTTCCTGATTACTTTGATGTTTTATAATTTTATTGGGGTAAAAGTCCATAATATTAGTTATAGGCTTACTGCTTGCATTATAGGTAAATCTCTTTTTAATGATAGTATTCATTTCATGTGTAGTTTTTTTTAACTTGGAATGGAATTTTTGTCTTATATGCATAAAAATACCAGATCTTTAGCCTGTGGGATAATTTAGATATCAAGATGTGTTCCAGCACTAAACATTTGATTGTGACATTGTTGACCTTATACATTTCCTTATTGGTTTATCATCTTAATGATACTTATAGGCATCTTTGTCAGTTTTTGTGTAATGAGATTTATTTATTCAAGAATCTTTATTTTTCTTTATTATTCAGACTTTTTTCAAGTTCACTTAATTTTGAGATCTTTGTTCTCCAATATAATAATCATCTTTGAAGTTTGGGGGTGATGGGTCTTTTTTACCACAGTATACATTATTTTGTTCTGAGAACTGTAAAATGTTTCCTGTTTGATAACTTTCAAAGAATTAGGGACTCATTTTGAATTTCCTTTGTGGAATACATAGTTTCTGTATGCATCATAGAATTGGTCATGTAACACTTGCTTATGTTTTGTTTTTTTTCTATGTTGATGGTGTTAAACAAATTGTTGATGTCTCTTGTAAACTTGAGCAAGAACTTCCTGTAATGTTTTACCACTTTTTGATTTGCATCTCCTAACCCTTGTCCACGAATAATGATGAAGGAAAAGCTCCTTTTAATGACATGAAGGGTATCCAATTTTTTTAACTGTCCCATGAATTTCTCTATTAAATTAGAACTTTGGTGATGAGTAACAATTTTCTAGTATACATATCTAATTACTTTGAAGTATTTGAAAGTGATATTTGGTGGAAAAAACATTTTTGCCTGATATTTTCATACCTGATTATCTCTCAACACAGGCTCACTTAAAGTTTTTATAGATTTAATACTTCAAACTTTTAATATAGTGTGTATATCTTCACAAAATTTGGCACTCTTTCAGTTAACATTATATGTCTTTCATATACAAAAAAAAATCATATTTTTGTGTGAAGTATTATTAATAAACTAAAATAAAGATTTGTCCAGGAATATATTGAGTATTTGTTTTAAATAGTCCATGTGCAAAGTAATTTTCATGTTAAAATTAAAAATACTTTTCTTCATCTCAAAAATCTCAAATTTCCTTTGTGTAATCCCCAAAACTTCCTAAATACATTTCAAATGTTTATTTTCAGTTAAACTTTATATTTTATATGTTATATTCACTACCCTCTCTCTATACGGGATCAGTCAATTTGACTGACATCGTAACCACCAAAAACAAATCTAAATAAATCTAAATTACCCTTTTTTTCCTTCCAGAATGACTTCCAAATTATAACATAAAACTACATTCGTTTATTCTAAGTAGCTTGAAGCTCATAACAGTTTACATCTATTTATAATTAAATGTAATTATTTCATTGCCCTTTGAAACATATCTAAATACTATTCACGCCATTATAAGTTGTAAATCACTCGGGGAATGTGCAGCTATTGAGTTACATTACCCACAAGCTGCTCATGTGCATGCCTCGTGAAACATTTTTATTATATTATTATTGTTATTTAGTTTACCTAATTTAATCTTAACTAACCTATAAAGATCCCTATTTTTACATTTTGGTTACTTTTTTAATAATAAATAAAGAATAAACATGAAAAACAATAAATAAAGTACTTACCCAATCTTCTTTTTTTCTTGCTGTTGATTGTTGATAAAAGGTAACCCTACTTTTTATACTATTGGTAGTAATGTACTAAATAATTTTTATTGTATTAAATAATGCACCAAAGAACATAGACTAATAACATGCAAAAAGTAGACAATTTACCCTAACTCTCAAAATTTTTCTAGCTTTCTAACTATGTGACAAGAGCTGTTACAAATTCATTCTAGCTAGTCGTTATCTTTCCCATGGGAATGGAGCTTTTACTCTGAGTGAAATTGACACTTATCTGTTCAGAACACATTACACAATACATCATTTGACTTTCTATTGGCTATACATAATATATAATTAAAAGTAACAGAGAACTATTAACAAATCCTGAAAGAGAAGATGTGACAGGTGGGTGTGGCAGGATGGGTCTGATTTTCTATATGATAGCTCTGTATGTAGCCAAACAAAATTGAAGTTTATAAAAAATTATGGTTTGTCTGAACAATGATGATTTTATAGGGAGTAATTGAAGCTTAATTTCGTACATTTTGAAGGGGTGGTGGATAAAATAGAGAAGAGAATATACCCAGAGAAAATGGGTCATATGTGTCACACTAGGGGAAATTCAGGATTTTTTTTAATATTGCTTTATAGAATTAAGAACTTAAAACTTGTATACTATTAAAATATGGATTATTATCTAAGATTTTATGCAATACTAATTGGTATAACATGAAAAATAGTTTAATAAAATTTTTAATGTAAGACACTAAAACTTTGTGTCATGTGCAGTAAAGGATACCCATGGTGATAGGGTTTAAGGTAGTCTACCTAGTAGTAAATGAGACACTAAACTTTCTCAAGTGTTCTTAGTCTAGTTTGGCTTGGCTTCAAATTTATTTTAAATTCTTTTGCATAAATTGATCATAAGTTTGTCTTCTGGTAACTTACCAAATACCATCTCTAATATTTCAAAAAATTAATTGGTGGTTTAAGTGTTGCATTTCTTCAAACACATCTCCTGTAACATTGGCTGCGTAAGAGAAATATATACTTGACTCCAAAAGTGATTCACACCTTGCTTTTGATTGCCAGAGTAGTAAATTGTTTACAGTTTCATAACAAGTGCATGTTAATTTGAATTTGAGTAGATGTCTCTACAGTGGATCAGATCTTGCCTATAAATTGTGTTAACTAGCTCAGATCTTTTCCATTTCTAGCTTCCTACTTATATGACTCACCATTTTTCTTCAATTTTAGCTAATGTTCCTGTGAGAGGCCTGATCTTTTGACTTCATCAAATCCTTGGGTGAACCATTCTTCACTTGATTTCTCTACAGTGGGATTTACAAGAACCGTGCATTTTGTGAAGCAGAGCTTAGTGCATTAGTCTTCTTGTTCCACAGTTATACTTGTAATTTGACCATACCATGTCAAGGCTTATTGGTTGTGTAGGAGAAGTCTAGATTTATTCTGTTTTCTCTATTCACCCAACAGATTTGCAGCTTATAAGCTTTATGTAATTCTGAATTGGTTTTGACTTAGATTACCTATTTATTCTTATTGTTAGCTTCCATCCTGTACATATTTACAATTATAAGTGACTGAGTTAGTTTTAGAATTTTTGCTCTATGAGGCATTTTTAGTTTAATGCACTGGAGTTTTTTTATTTTATTGTATTTATTAGTTAAGACTTATGGCTTTAGTAGATGAACTATGCCTCCCATGATACCTTTCCATCAAAATCCATTGATCTCTAAATCAGTTAATGTTGTTGAATTGGCCAGCTAAATTCTGGAATTGGAGTTAGTATTGATACGGCTGGTATAGTCCAGGAAGATCCTGTAGTAACAGATGGCACAGCAGTAGTGATAAAAGGTGTAGTCCAAATAGTTTCTCCTATTCCATATTAAATTGTGTTGTAGGTTGGAATTCATAGACAGATGCAGAAAGAGGTGTTGCTGATTTGATCTTTACATTTACCAATTCTTTATCGAAATGTACCATTCTGTAATTGATTTTCTTTTCTACCTCACCAATCTTTCTGTTATAGTCTTTCTATTATTTTATTTTAATTTTCTATCCCTTTCTTCTTGCACTTTTTTTAATTTTCTGTCTCTTTCTTCATGGTCTTTCATTTATTTCCTGTCACATTTATCTAATTTTTCTTCATGGTCATCTTTTAATATTGTCTTTTTCTTCTTGATTTTCTTTTACCTCCTTCATTAACTCCAATAAATCTCCAATATTGCTTTTTGAGGTATCTGAAAAGTTGAGGTTTACTTGATGCTCTACTTTATCTCCAACAAAATAATACTACTCTTTACACAAGTGTTGTAACATCAGGGAGAACTATTGGCAATTTGTGAAAAAGAGAATGGGACAGGTGGGTGAGGTATGTAGGTCTGATTTTCTAGTATATGGCCTTATAAAATAAAAAAAAAGATTGACGGCTAAAAAAATTATACTTTGCCTGACTAATATCTAGGTTATAATGAGTAATTTATGTTAAATTCCATACTTCTCAGAAATGTGGTAAATAAATTAGTGAAGAGGGAAGACCTAGAGAACAAATGTCACAATTCTCCTACTAGGGGAGATTGAGGATTTTTTTAATATATTTCCTTATAAAATTAAGAACTTAACACTTATATAATATCTAACCTTGATTTATTAACTATGTTTTGATGACAATTTTATTTTTATATAATCATAGTAAAGTAATTTAATTAAATTTTGAATGTAACTGTATAAAAAGTCATGAAATCAAACTATCATCGTAAACTGTCAAATGAGACCAAACTTGGATAGGAGCAATTAGCTTCAGTTCAAAATAGTTTTCAAGGTGAATAGATGGAATAGTGAACAACAAGCTATTCATTTTGCTGCTCATTTAAAAGGACCAGCTTTGACAATATTAAATAACTATTCAGTTGAGAGCTGTAACAACTATTAAGCATTTGTAGCCACCTTATCCAACAAGTTTGGAGTGACACCCCAAAAAAAGAAATATCCAGAGCAAAGTTCCTGAACAAGGTAAAGAGGAGAGAAGAAACCTTAGCCAAACATGTTGAAAATTTATAAACGCTTGCCTAAATGACATACTTTGATGCTTTTCTTGAACTAACTGTTTTGCTATGGATAGGTCAAAGTGCACATGTCGTGACCTATCAGAGAGTTACATTAAAAATGTAATTATATGTAAATAAATTTGGTATCCAAACCTAGTAATAAATCAAATTTTAATATTATGTAAGTTTTAAGTTCTTAATTGTGTAAATAAACATTTTAAAACATCCTCAACCTCCCCTAGTATGAGAATTGTGACATTTGTTCTCTAGGTCTTTCCTCTTCACTAATTTAGTTACCACCCCTTTGAGATGTATGGAATTTAATGTAAGTTACTGATTATAATATAGACTACTAAGGCAAAGCATAATGTTTATAGCCTTCAATTCTTATTTGTTTATTGAGCCATAAACTAGAAAATCAGACCTGTATACCTCACCCACCTGTCACATCCTCTCTTTCACAAATTGCCAATAGGTTACTCTGATCTTTCATACTATATTATTTATAACCAACAGAAAGCCAAAGTTTTAATCTATCAAATGGCATATTATGTTACATTGATTTCTGGACAGAGTATTGTCGATTTTGCCTTCAGTTTCAAAGTTTCTCTCGGGTGTTTGGATTGACAAATGGAGCTAAGTTTTCAAAAGCTCTGATGCCATACTTAAAAAGGCAGATCAATTATGAAAGTTATAGGACATTGTTTGCTTTGTGTTTGTTATTGTTCTGTTTTCATAGGTGTATTATTTAGTGTACTATTACTTTTAGTATTAAAAAATAGGTATAAATTTCATCAACAGCCAACAGCAAAAAAAACAAGTGAACACAGGAAAATATTATATTTCTTGTTTTTCATGTATATTCTTCATTTATGATTGTAAAAGCTACTAAAATGTAAAAATTAGAAACTTATTAGATGAGATTAGGTAAGATAGTGACATATAATAATAATATTTCTTCATGAGGTATGTTTGCTATTTTACATCATTCAATATTGCATCTTGAGCTACGCATTCATTGAGTGATTTAGAGCTTCTGTTGTAGGATTTGTAGTTAGATATGGTTCAAGGGGCAATAAAATTAAGTATACACGTTTGTAGTTTGCTGTTACAATCTGCAGGCTTTCTAGAAATAAAAGTTTAATTTAGATTTATTTTTATGGTAGTTACGAGGTTGGTCAAATCAACTGATTCCATGTAGAATTAGAGAAAATAACAGAAACTGTAGAGTTTAAATAAAAACTAAAAAAATGTTTGATATTTACATAGGTTTTAAAGATTATGCAAATGAAATTGACAATTTTTAGATGGAGTAAAGTATTTTTGATCTTAACACAAAATCACTTTACACTTGTAGCAGTCACCTCTTTGACTATATATATTCACAGAAAAAAATTTAGTAAAAATGCATAATTAAAAATGATCTTCTGTATAAAAAAAAAGATTTGTAATGTTTACTGAAAGCTTGCCAAATTTTGTGAAGATACACCTACCATTTTAAAAGTTGTAGTATGGAAACCCTGATGGTTATTTTGGGGTCACAAGGTTGGTAGCAAGAGGGTTAATATCAAGATGTTACTTGCTGTTTCTGATTGCTAATTGGTGTATACTTATTGAAGTCTTTTATTCATCATTGTTATTCTCTAGTTCTCATTTCTTTTGACTTAGACTTGTTCAGTCCAGTGCAAAGGAGGCATAGTTATATGAAACTATCATTCTTATTATTATGTCAAGTTGATAGTCCTGGTATTTTCAAGAAATAGCACTGATAAAAGTAATCAACCTTTGGCCAGAAAGTAGAAAATATTGGTTAAAGTAAAATATTACTAGCATTTTATCTTCACAGAATGGAAGTCCTAATCCACAGCTATCATTCTAGCATATTTTTAGCACATCCAAATGTTGCATACCCCAGTTTTATCACTATCTGAGACTGGTTAAGTCATTAATTTAAGGTTAAATAATAATTTGATATGGTCTGCTTTCAAAATACTATATTTTTTCAAAAATACATTTAAGAGAGTTCTGTTAGGAAAATATAACACCCACAGTTTTTATCAGTAGTATGAGAAACAGTTGTTATTTCATTATTGCTATACTAAAATTTACATGTTTTTTACGAACAGCTTGCAAAGTGTTTTTAAAGAACATTCTCTGTTATTTGCAGGAGGAAGTAATGGGCCTTTTCTCTGTGGTAAGGAGACAACATTTGAGGGTGGGATGAGAGAACCAGCAATAGCTTGGTGGCCAGGCACAATAAAACCAGGGCAGGTGGGTTTCTACTTTAACATTGAATAATAAACCTTGGAACTGTTTGATCAAACTTTTGTTCAGGTATAGTCATACTGGATCAGGGAAATTCCTGTTCCATGTTGAAAAATATATTTTAAAATCACTTTCTAGCTTCATGTGTAGATATCTTCAAACCAAGTAGGAAACGAAGCTTAGTTTGAAATGATTATTAAACCCTAGGTTTACTTCATTAACCATTCCCATAGACACTATAATAGAACAGATGTACTTCAAACACAGTTGTCATTAAATCTTTGATTCACTTGATATATTAGCTAATCCTGTAGCCAGGCTGTTAAGGTATGTAGAGTTCAGTCTTGAATTAAACGACATAATTTGTAGCTAAACTTGTGTGATTTTGTTGTAGCCTCTGTCTTTTGATTAGCAAACTTTCACAGATATTAGAATGTATACCAACGTCACACAATCACTAAAGTTCTGTATCTCCACTTCTGAGTTTTCCCCAGACACATTTTGCACATTTGTAATTACAGTTCTGAAGCCATTTTGTAGTAGCTTTAACAAATTTCAAGACAAAGATAAGTGTACTGATAACCACTCTTGATATTTCCAGTGATAAAATTCTTTTGATAAAAAGTTATTATATGATTCTATAATACATAGGAACAAATTTTGTGAATAAGTATATGCAGCTGCCCAAGGAAGACTATTTATGGAAATTGTACTTGTGTGTGTAGTACAAATGCATTTTTTTTTTTGTCTCTTGGGAAGTTCTTAGAGTTAAACATTTTATGAATGAAACTAAGAATAGTTCTGATTTTATTAGCATAATGTGTAAAGGTTACAATAAAAATTATCTTAGAATACTTATAGAAACTTAAAATGCAAACTTTAAAATTAGGTACACTTTTAAACTTGCCTTGTACTCTTCTTGATTATGTTGTTCAATTCCATGTCATATTACAACTCAAATCAGGTTGTTTCAAGATTTTTTGGCTATTTGATGGCTGCTCCAACTTCTCTTAAAATGTTTTTTCACTGTAGTAAACTTCCCTCTGCATCCCTTTTATAAAATTGAATTGTCTTGTTACTCATTAGATTTTCTTCCCCACTCTCCGTTTTGAAAGTAATTTTCCTAAAAGGATATTTTTATGTACAAGCTGGCCCAACAACAAAAGGTCTCTAGGATATATAAAAGAAACATGTTTCTTAACAACAGTTTATTTCTGGATAACACATCATAAGTGCAAACATAAATGCAGAAAAATAATAAGTTAGTTCAAAGAAACTTATTTCATCATAAAATTATTGTTATCACTGTTCCTATATTAATTTTATAAAAACACATTACCTATATAATGCATCAGAGTCATATCACTTTTGGACCATCCTATGTGCACTTCAACTATATATAAAAAAAATTCTTGTTTTCTTGTATATGAGCCACATACTTAGTCTCAGTAAAAAGTATATTTCTCTATAATTTTGAAGAATACCATCATAGTATTCCTCTCTTAGGTCTTATTGGATCATAATCTCATTGTACAAATTTGCCTTCATGATGTTATTGTGTAGTTGCATGTCATATTAGAATTTAGATGAGCTTGTTTCCTCCTTTCAGACTGTTCTACAACATCAAGGGTTATGCTGCACACATCCTGAAGCTGGTACTAGAAATCCCATAATATGCATAGACATTTACCCTTTGGAATTGTAGTAAAGTCTGTAGAAGTTCACATTACCTTGGTATGTGACTATTGTGGTAACTTTTTGTCTCAAATATCCGTTAGTTTGCAAACCAACAACATCTGTATTTTGGCTTGGAGTACTTTGTTATGTGCTTAAGCTCTACTGATAAGGATATAAATTTGCCCTGTTTCCAAAGCTAAGAATCTTGTTATGTGTTTGTTAATAGTATGCCTTCAGTAGATCTGACTAGTGAAAAGATCTCTTCAAATACAGATTTTCTGTGGGTGTCTAGGTCAACAGATGATTGATGCAATGCCATGTCTCCATTCTTCACTGTTCCTCTTTAGTCCTCATATCTGTTTACTTTGGAGCTGTTTATTCTCAATTAAGATTAGTACAGTCAGACTTCCTGTATGCGTATTTTCTATACCTTCTCTATTTTGTTAGAGCTACAGCTACAGTTTGAATCTGCCCGTATAACACTAACTTCCTGTTCCACAGAACATTGGATCACCTTATTAACTTCAAAGCTGGCAGTAAGTTACGAAGCACTGTAAAAATGAACTTTTGTTGTGATTTAGTTCATATTTCTTGTTAACCGACTTTCTCTTCATTCTTCACCTATCAGTTTAGGATTCTGTTCCTTTTTTTCACTAACTTCCTGTTCCACAGAACATTGGATCACCTTATTAACTTCAAAACTGTCAGTAAGTTAAGAAGCACTGTAAAAATGAACTGTTGTTGTGATTTAGTTCATATTTCTTGTTAACCGACTTTCTCTTCCTTCTTCACCTATCAGTTTAGGATTCTGTTTTTTTTTTTCAGGTGTGCAAGTATTGCATTGTTTTCACAGTCTACCATATTTCTAGAGTCCTTGTTGACTTTTGTTCAGTCCAGTGCTTAAAAAGTAGGCTTTCTTTCTTTGAGTTGCGTTCCTTTGGCCAGTTCTTATATTCTCAACTTTGAAGTTTATTGGTCTTGAGTGGGGAAATTTTTTCCTGGATCCTGCTGAAATTATTTACTGACTGTTCTATTTTGTTCTTCTGTTTCATAAATATACCATTTTCTTCTAGTTAGGTTGCTAGTCTTCTGCTGTTCATGATTCTTATCCTGTTCCAATGGCTGTTTGAACTTCTCTTGAAAATTTTATTTTTGCTGTAGTTAACTGCCCTCTGCTTCCTCGTTTTAGATTGGATGTCATGTTAGTCTTTAGATTATCTTTCTTACTGTCCATTTTGGCTCTTGTCTTATTGTGTTGGCCATTTTCAATGGTAATCACTTTCTTTTCACATTGCATTTTGTTGATAGTCTGATTGCTATGGCATGAACTGTACAAATTACCAGTTTTGGTTTGTTCACATGCTTTGTTGATGTTTTTTCTTTTTTTTTTAAATAAATTTTGTGTAACCTTAATAATTCATTGGGTATTGTAACTCGCCTTCTTCACTTCCCTTTCTGTGAACCAGATAGATTTCTACCCAAACTAGCTATGTCATAAGGTATATAAAACTGTGTTAACCTTTGAATTATTGGGTTGATCTGCTTAACAACTCAATATTCTGTCAAGATATCAATTATGAAGTAATACTAAATCTCTTACTAACTGAGTCATGATGTTAAATAGAATAATGAGACTGGCATTAAATTAATGCAAATTGAACAATCATTATTATGACATGAAACATGATCTGTGTCCTTGCTTTTTCTTACATGAGACTGTTACTTTCTTCTTTCCCCATATCTAGTTATCTCAAAATATTGACATCAGTGTTTGTCACATACCAGAATATGATATAATTCACAATTGTGTAAGTGACCGTGGAAGATTCTGATAGGCAAGGAGTATCTTGTGACCTCGGAACGTGTGTGAATAATGATATCACAAGATTGTGTGGGAAAAGGTTGTAGAGACAACCTTGCCACCCATGTTTTGATGACATGGTCTACCTTCTGTCTAAAGATAAAAACTTAGTCACATTTCATTTTCTATTAAAACTAAATTTATTTATTTCTGGTTTTGTATAAAATTGTAACAGTTAAAGCATTTTCTTTTATTCCAGTTTTCCCACTAGTTGACCTATATTTACTGGTTTCCTCCGGTTATCTGCAACAATATTTTGTGCTTTTTTTATCACCTGTTTCTTTCTTCCAGGTTTCTCATCAGTTAGGTACAGTAATGGATTTATTCAGCACAGCTTTAGATTTAGCTGGAGTAGAACCACCAAGTGATAGGGTGATAGATGGCATAAGTTTAAAGTCAACGTTTATTGATGGAAAAATGACAGATAGGTAAGTATTTAAAGAGTGTTCATTTTACTACTAAAATATTTAATTAATGTAAAAAGTACCTTTTAGATTTTAGTTTAGATTTAATTACACAGTTTCTTTTCATTACAGTTGTGTGTTTATTGTAATTATTCACGTAGAAGATTATTCTATAACTAGCTGAATGCCCCTCATATGATGTTAAATGTTGATTAATTTTTCTTTGGAAAATTAAACCTAAATAAATGTTTTATGAACATTTTTTCTAAAAATTAATTGCATTATAATAACAATATATTTATAAAGAATGTTTATACTTTTTCTAGTATTTCACAAAAACAACATTGATCATCTCCTGTAAGTGTTCCTTGATTAGATTTTTGACTTGCATATATTTTTATGTTATGTTCAAACTTGCTTCTTGATAAAACCTTATACATTGAACCATGTAAAAAAATTGGTTATCAAAGAAATATTTCTACATGGTCAAATGTCTGAC